ATTAAATGTGCCAAGTGCTAGGACATGGTGCAAACATGTTTAAAACTGAGCACTTTGGTTCCCCTGCATCATTTTAAAACTCGGCTGGGTGACATGCTGTTTGATACTCATGGTACCTGTCACTGTAAAGAGAGTTTATAAACTGTACCCTGTACATTATGTTGTATGTCATCCTTATTGTTGTTCTGTTGTTTTTATGTTACATGTGTAACTAATGTCCTTCAGGTCACCCTTGAAAAAGGGATCTTTTGATCTCAAGGGGCTTTCACCTGGTTAAATAAAGGCTACAAACATCCTTCTTGTGTGCATTGGGGCAAGTTAAGGACACAAACATTAGTGAGAATGACAATAATTGTAATCCATATTATTTGGAGAACACTCCAGGTGTTTTGTCGACCATTGTTAAAGCGAGTGAAAAATACACTGTTGCCCTGATAACTATCTGTTAACTGCAGGTAAATGTTTTATGAAATTCGATGATAGTTGTGTGTGGGCGGAAAACAAGGTAAGGCGTGGCAAATAAGGTTTTTCAACGTCAAATCATTTTGTTGAAACTTGTACAAATTCCATTTTGGTTCAGTGTGGCGCACACAAGATGTGTTGCCTTCTTTTAACTGTATTCAACCGTATAACTAATGACTGAGTTCCAAACGCAAAAGTTGTGTGTTGCCATTTCCTTTGGTTTAACAGTTGGATGAGCAAGTGCGGTGACAGCAAAGACAATCTAGTTTCTGGAAGAGCAAAAGAAACAACCAGGGATATCAGGCAACACTAAAAACAAGACATTATGTTTCTTCATAATCATGAAAAGGCACACATAACTGGGAATCTACGATATAGAAAGTTGAAATTGTGTTTTTATCAACAATACTTGAAATATTAATATCCAACAATAACATGATTCATGAAATAGTACCCCCACACATAATACTGTATAATGCATGTTATACTTGTTTATTATTTGCATGTGCATGTGAAAGTGATTTTAGCAAGCTCACTTTCTCAGATGAAAGAAAACCCCTTTTAGTAGTATTGCGACAATAAGCTATAATCTGATGTATGCCGTAGGCTTTCACACTTTATTATAAAATTAATGCACCACACACCACACCCCACTGTCTGGGAGACAAATCACAAAGCAATACATGTATTGCTATCACCAGCCAGTGTGTGGCTTTGCCGGGCTTTGCTTATTGATTTGTTACCTCTTTTTCTTAACATATTTCGCCTCAAACTGTTTAATGTATGTTTCCAATGGCTATACAAACACTTTAGAAGGAAATATAATAATCAAATTAAAGTCAAATGTACATTTATCAATTGAGCTATAGCCTACATTGCCAATTGTAATGTTTGAACAAAAATGTTTCTTACGTCTTTAGCTTAAAGTTTTGTTAAAAATAATAAATTGCTTGATTCTTCTTCTTTAATGCACAAATGTTTCTTTTGAATTCATTTGCTAGGTTTGCAAAAAAGTAAAAGTGTAAGCACACTTAAGCAGGAACCGACACATTTCGTCTCAAGTGTTAAATATAGAAAGAGGGAGTGGCCTCAAGGTTTTCAAATCCTCACATTATTTCTATTTGCTTGAAATTTGACACCCCATGTATCTGCTAAGAAAGAGCGGTAAGACAATAGATGGCGTTTGAGGGCACAGGATTAGAAACGTTTACACTCTGTCATTTTAATACAATGTCCAGTCGTCAATAGACCTTCGTTGGTGAGTTTTACTTAAAAAACGAACCAATTACATCCAATGATAAAAGTTTTGTAACGAAAATCAAATCCAAACTGATGGATAGAACAAGTAAAAAGAAGTCTGGTACCTTAGTGCAGCGCTTTAAAAAAATAACGACCAATCGGCGATGAGATACAAACGTAGGCACGACAGACTGTTTGATTGACTTGATATCCCTCCAATCAAACTCTCCAGTCACTGACATTGCCCAATCATGTGCGGGATCGACCCGCTGTAGCCAACGAGAGAGGATTTCCAACAAGCTCAGAGAAAAGCAGAGACAGACAGACATCATTTCTCTCCCAGCTTCTTTGGACTACCACACGACGCCAAAGAATCAAGAAATAAAGCATCTTTCTCTGAACAGGATTATAACTGTCTAAATTAATACCCAAACATTAACCATGGCCGACACAGCTGTAGAGAAGACCATAACTGCAGAGGTTACTGCCAAGGTACGTTTCATTCGGCTTTTTCTCGGTTGAACTGTCGTGTTAAAAAGATTTTTGAACTTTTGTTGTAAGTTGTTTTATTAGCTGTACGTATATTAATAATGTGTTTTAGCTAGCTCCCGTTAAACAACCGTTGTCGGTGGAATTACACGTACATTTTACTTCATGTTAAGTTTAAACAATGACGTTAATTTGGGGGAAATAAATTACCTCAATGACTTATCTTAACATTTCACAAGGTGACTTATTTTCAATTTATCAGCGTGGACGGCTAAATATTGTGTGTGAAAATGCAAACGTATTTGATGTGGTTAGGTTAGCTAAAGTGTATTGTTGAGCAGACAAAGCGGCAGATACGGTGCGTCTGGTTTTAGCTGCTGCTGTGGGCGGGAAGCCTCAGCAGCCTTACATTACACTACTAGTTTGGAAAAAACGTTCACCATTGCAACTAATTATGTCAAAAAATGTCTTCCTTTTAATTAGAATTTATCCCACATATGGCAAACGAGTTTTCTTTAATTAAAACCAGACGTAGTAGGAGCGTCTGCCCCCTTCAGAATAAACTCTTTGCTTTATGAATCAAGAGACGTGCTTTTATTTTGTAGGAGCTGAAAGAGAAGAAAGAAGTAGAAGCGAAGGAGGTGGAGAAGGAGAAGAAGACGAAGACCGACACCGGGGACGCACCTGCCAATGGCACAGTGAGTAGAGGACAAGCCTCATGGCCTTTTGTCTTTGCACCCCTCATCATGCAGGTGTCGCTGTACCCGCCCCCATCCTGTTCAGCTGCTCTCCCTCCACACAGTGCTTTGTTTGGGTTGTGAAATGGGACAGATGTTAGTTAGCAAGTCCTTAGACGTTTTCCATTGGTGTCTCTAGGGTAGCTTGGTAGCTTATCCCCAGGGGGGGTAAATGAGGGCTCCACACACATGCCTTTTTTAAGTGTCCCCAGAGGAGTGCGTACATGTAAGACTCTGGGGGGGATAAGTGGAAATATATGTTAAGGATTAAATATAAATATATCGGTTTAACATGTATCTTATATTTAAAAATCCCAATCATGATGTGTTACTGAACTCACTTTTCCCTGTTTTCATTCAGAATGGTGCTGACCACATTGACAAAACAGAGGACAAAGCAGCAGAAGACAAATCAGAAAAGAAAGTAGAAGACAAAGCAGAAGACAAAGCAGAGGAAAAACACAAGAATGGAAATGGTATGTTCATAAAGCAGTATTATGGTAAAATAATATTCTTTTAAGAAGAAACTATTTTAAAAGAGGCTTTACAACTCTAACTTTGTTGCTTCTGATTTGACTCATTAACACTGTCAACGTGTGTGGCCCTGAGTTCCACTTTGGCAAGATTGTATTTATTTTCTTCCCATGAATCTTGTCTTAATTACTCCTCATGTGAAGGATGTATTTTCTGATGTGACTAACTGCTTACAGGAGAAGCAAAGAAGGCGCCCCCTGCTGAGGAGACTGATGCACCGCCTGTGAAGCGTGCAGCTGAAGAGGAGGAGGAGGTGGGTTGTTGTCACCAGACTGAATTATACCATTTTAATCCGGTTTTTTTATGTGTGTTTAGTAATCTGGTGAAGTTCAGTTTTTGCTAATGCATCAAATATTTTCCTTATTTTTTAAATAGGAAAAGGTGGAGACAAAAAAGCAGAAGACAGAGGAAAATGGAGCTTCAAAAGAGGCAGGAGTGAAGGCTTAGGTCTTGGCCCTGCTACCTGTTTGCAGCACTGTCTTGGTCAACATCGTGTTGTAGAGCTTGTGCTTTCTGTACCTTTTTGAGAAATATTTCTTTTTATTTGCTCCCATGTTATCACATTGCACTGGAGTCCTGAAACCTAGTGGCCCTGCATCCTTTTTTTATGAAATGTTATTTATTGGTCTTTAAAATGAGCTTGTACAAATTGGGCCACACCATGAGATCAGTTTTTTCATTTCTTGAGGTTTTATATCAGTATGTTAGAAGCACAATCTCTCATGTCAGTGCTGACCAGATGATTCATACAATTCAGGCAGCTGCTCACTTCCTCCTAGTTCTCATGTTGACCTCTCAGATTCACTTAAAGGACCAAAGATAAGTTTTAAGCAGGGGCTAATGGACAGTTGTTCGCATTATTAGTTGAGGCATACTTTTTTTGTGTTGGGCTGCTATTTAATCCTTGGCTTGGCTGCCCTGTTAACATAACAGATGGTGCAAATGAATAAAGGGGATCTGTCTTGCACCTCCGTGATAAGATTGCTTGACCTTGTTTTATGGAGGTAAAACGTTGCAATGTTAATTAACCCCTCTTAAATCTTAAAGCTTTGGTCATTTGTTCTGTATGCATTCCACGCAAGTTTGTACCATTTATACTTTGTTTTTCTTACAGTTTTATGTTATGGCTGGGTAGCCCAGTTTTGTGTTGAAGTCTGCCTTTTCAGAACCAGAATGACATTCGGTTACTTCAGCCACTGCTTTGTATATTCTGATTAAAAAAATAAATTGTCTTTTTACTTAATTATATCTATTTTGTGTTTTTTACCTCATCCTTAGTGCTTATTAATAACATGGCTTTTAAAGTAGATGATGTCACTTGACCCAATTTCTCTAAACATGGAAAATGGCTGGCATAGATGCAGGAATCGTTTTATCCACTTGGTAATGGAAACGGGTGCAAAGATTCAATATGGCAGTTTTTTGTCTCATGGCTCCCTCGTGTGGTGTATCTGCAGATTGCGGATAATTATTTCTAACAACTGGTATGGGCCACAACGGTCATCAGTGAATAACAATAATTGACACAGGAGTCCAAGATGCCAAAAATTATGATTTTTAGTTTGAACTGAAACCTGAATAAAAGTAGCTTTTACAGTAACACTGCTAATATTGAGCAATAGGTGGTTCCATATAACACAAACTCAGTGTTTCTCAAGCAAGCTGCAACAGCATGATCCATACATTTACTGTTTCCTCAGAAATGTTAGCATGGCGGGAATCCAGTCAGTCCAGGAGACCAAAAAATAGACAATCGACATTTTGCTGAGGCAGCAATTAAGACTTGCACCAGTCTTAAACTGTAAATGGAACTGATGTCAATGACACCATCAGTATGGTAGGCTTTAAAAGGTTTTATAGTAAAATTAACCTTTTGTTAAAGTCCTGAAGTCAGTCGTGGTGCCTGTGTTGAGGCAGAACAGACAAAAGCATACTGCTGTTTCTCATGGCACAGACATTTAAAACACACAACTACTATGTACCATTTTGTTTATGCAGATGGCTTCTTAAGGATGGACAAAGGAATAAAGTTGGAGATGTCCTGTTAAGGAAGGGGCTAACAAGTAGGTAATACTGAGTTGGTGGGCCGCCATGGTGGAGCAGAAGCCTACTACCTTAAGCATGCGCCCTAATGATGACAATAAGCACTTGATGCTGGCTCTATGAACCCCCATTGTCTTTTCCTTTTTTATGTTGTCCACCTTCAGGGTTACCCATATGAGTCTTCTCCCTGTTTGCTGATCTTCTGTTTTGTTCGGTTTCCGACTGAATGCTGATTCACACCCCAGTTTCAACTTCTCCTCTTCCTGATAATGACAAGAATCACTGTCATTATTACAATGACATGGCCCGGAGTAGGGTGACAGCTCACGGCTGTACCATGGCTTAGTGAGGGCCCAGACAGAATTTGTCACCAGCAGACATTTCTCTGTGTCTTTGAAAGTTTGTGTGCGAGTGTGTGTATGTGTGTCATCCTATTAGCTATGGCTCTATGCTGACTAAGCATTAATTAGCGTTTTGCTAGTCGCCTAGCACCAAAGTGTGAAATTTAGGGATGGCACACTGGTGAGTTTCATTATGAATAGCTTGTGTAAAGAGTGGTGTTTTTATTTGCTGTAAAAATGTGAAGCCCTTCAAGACTGTAACTGTGATTAATTGTGTTCAGCTTCAAGTGAGTATGTGTTTGCTAAATTAAAAAAGCTCTTGATTCAATGAAGGAGCCTCAATTGGTGAATGTCAGTGGACACTGGCAACACAATCATTTAGTCAGAATGATCCTGCCTAAGGCGTGATGCTAATATGCTAACTCAGAGAAACAGGCAGGTAGACATTCCTTTGGCCGTAAAACAAATCATTAACACAGGCATTGAGAGATTACATTGCAGCTCATGCAGACGTTAGGCAACTGATAAAAGGAAGAAAAAGAGGGGGAAAGCTGTGGTTAGCCTGAACGTGGTGATCAACATTTATATACTAAACACCAACAAGCAAGAAAAGATGATGCAAGATTTTACAGCAAAGAATCAGACAGAAGGGGCTAAGCTATCTTCAAAGAGTTCACTCACACTCTCTATCACACACATTTGTCCCACACTTCATTCAAAAAGGTCACACATTCAGTAGCAACAGTAAGGAAAAGATGCATGGGCACACACACTCTATGAACATACTGGTCATGTTAACACAAATAAGAGCAGTGGCCAATGTCTGTCTGTCTGTCTGTCTGTCTAGCTCTGAGAAGAGCAGTGCCGAATAGTGTGAAACTGTGTATGGAACTGTGCTGTACAGGATCTGCAATGTGTCAGTGCTGTGAAGGTCAACTCACTCAGACACCAATCGACAGTGTGGGAGCATGTGCCAGTTGAGTATGTGTGTGCGTGAGTGTAAGGCTGTGTTTGAAGTAAAGTAAATCAAGTGCTAAATGTGCACCAATAGTGGCTGGGTCTCGCTATCGGGGGGCTCACCCTCAGGGGGGGGCAGCTGGTACACCATGCAGAGAGAGGAGTACAGGCAGCCCACGAATGACATCAGGCTCGCAAAGTACATCACTCCCTGGGCCCCACCCACCAGTGAGGTCAGAGGTCCCATGGCCACTGAGACCAGGATCTGAGCCAGGAAGTACTGGCAGCTGAGCAGAGAGATGTCCACCCCCATCCCGCGTTTGGTCCCCTCCTCTGATGAGCCACAGAACTGAGGGACAAAACGTTCAGATAAGATCAATCTATGAAGTACATCACAAAACACTGCTTGACTGAAGGAGCGGTTTGAGAGGAATAGGCCTCCTTCACCAACCGTTCTTAAGAAATTAGAATATTCTGACAATCATCAATGTTAATCTTATTTTGGATTTACTCACACTTACACCCATTTGAGTGTTCACATTATTGTGTAAAATAATTGGTTATTGTGTTTTCTTAAAATCAACTACAGTATACAACAAAACAGTTGCATAACATTACATTTAAGTTACAATAAAAAAAATATATATTTATAATGTTATGTTATTCTTGTGCTCATTATTTTACAAAGCATTATTGTATATTTAAAATAAATAAACACTCATAAACACCTAATGAGTAAAAGTATCCCATGTTTCTTTTTTGTGACATTTTATATGTACTACTCGTGCTAAGTATGAAGCTTGCTTGGTGTTGATGGAGTACCTTGACAATTATAATTTTTTGGAGTCTAGTCCTCTTTAGACTTCAGTTTGGGTATGATTACCTTAGTTCCCTCAACCTTAATTTTTAATTCTACAGCGTGAACAGGGCTCCTCAGTCCCAAATCCTTTTATGGTGATTGGCTGGGCATAGATGCTAATTAGGATCAGCTGTGACACGCTTTCAATTTACCTTCATTATAAGAACAGAGGTGATAACATTAAGCTGTCTGTGGCTCTTTTTTTTCTACTGTAACTTTTGTGGGACTAATAAAGGTATTCTGATTCTGATTCTGATTATATGTGTTGAACGAAATGAAAGTAGTTTAAATCTTCTCATCTGATTTGATCATGATAAAATATCACTAAGCATTTACAAGTTACATATTTAGACACTGACCTGAGGGTCCTGGTAGTATTCACACAACAGAGAGTAAGGCAGCGTGCATAGAGAAGAGAAGAGCACCCCATAGGTGACGCAGAGAGAAAGTACCACGTAGAGGTTGTTGGACAGTGTGGCCAGGCCCGTGCCCAAACCAAACGCCAGGTAGGCAAAAAAATAAAGAGTGCGAACAGAGAAACGCTCCTCCAGTTTCTCCAATATGGCTTTAACCCAAAGAGAAAACAGAGGAAAAACATGTCAGGCTTGCCAAGGAAAAGGAGACACATTCTTTGTAAAATTACTCTTTCCTGCAAAGATGTGATAGCGAGCGGAGCTTACCTGAGTAGAAAGCAGCACTGAATGCATAGATGCACATGCCCCAGCAGCCCATGTTCACTCCGGCATTGTACCGTTGGTAAGCCTCAGAGTCGTGGGGTGCCTTAGGGTCTCCTTCAAACACAACCTCACCCATGAAGTCAGTGTAGAAGAGCAGCATGCCTTCAAAAGACAGCCAGCCTACAGAGAACGAACAAGAATCAGCTCAGGGAAAATTAAGTACAAAACAGATGTTTTTTTTGCAGTTTTTCAAGAGCAACAACATTTAATAGTGATAATGCTCACCCAGGAAATGATTAGTGCATAAACTCCGCATAGAGGGAGGCATCCTGTAGATGGCTATACACAGCAGCTTAATTGACATCTGTGATTCTCCTGTCTCCGCATTCTCAGTCAGATCACTCTCATAGTGCATCCCATTCAGCAAAATGTTTGCAACCTTCATCAGAGACAAAAGACAGACACTGTGTTGAAAATGCTATGATGGTAACTGACTAAACTGCTTTTGTAATTTTAAAATATGTGCCGACCTGCTGACTGAAGGTCACCGTTCTCCTGCGTCCGTTCTCCATCCCAACAATCTGTGTTGACATGGGCTCCTCAATTAGTGCAAGACTCTGGGGTCGCTTCAGGATACCAGCAGAAGAGCGCCGATGTGACCCAGCACCAGGATGAGTCCCAGCTGTGACCTGAGTTTGTGCATCTCCCTCAGGCTGTGGCGCTTCCACATCCTGATGAGACGCCACATCAGCCTGGGTCTGTCCTGTAGGAAGGCTTCCTGCTCCCTGTTTGAAGTCTTCAGGGTGAGGGGGGTCCCCTGGAGGCAGGGCCACCGAGGTGGAGTTGGGGGCCAGGGCCTGTGGAGTCTGCTGGCCTGTGTAGCAGTCTATGAGCACACTGTCTATATAGGAGTTTCCTAATGAAGAGGCAAAGTCATTTATACCTGTGAGCGAGCTGTCCCTGCTGATAAAGCTGCCATATTTTGGAGTGAGGGGGCTCATGGGCGATATGGGGCTTGTGAGCCCAGCACAGAGGCGTGCATTGGCACTGCAAGAATGTGCAAGGGGGTCCGAGTTATATGGGTGAGGCTTTGAGTAATGGTAGCTGTAAAGACCATCTTCGTCTTCCTCATCCAGTCCCAAAGTTGATCCTGGAGGGACAGGGGGAGAGGGAGGAAGAGGGAGGCTGGGGCTTTTTAGATGAGCTTTGCTGGAGTTTTTGTTCTTTGGTAGCGGGCGTTCAGGGATACTAAACAGAGTCATAGCTGTGGCACACACCAATGTGATACTTGTGAACATGTATATGACTCGTAGTTGACCTCCCATCGACCTTCCAAATTGTGTCTTGTCCCAGTTGATGCCGCCCACGATGTAGCCAAATCCACCTCCGAGTCCTGCAGAGCAAGTTTAAGAAACAAAAAATAATAATTGTGCATTCACTGGTTATGTCTTAAAACATTCATATTTTATAGGTCTATTTTCACCAAAACTACCTTAAAATGATCAGTGTTTTCCTACCTGCAAGTAGTGCATGAATGTTCAGCCCTCGATCCTGGTCCTCTGGGCTGCACACGTCCATCATGTAGGCATGGCTCGGGTTGTCGGCTGAGTCAGCGCTGAAGTCCATCAGAACCACACCGCACACCGTCAGGATGATTCCCCACTTGTGATTTGATGCAGTGTCAGCCAGCGCACCTCCAATGTCCCGCCCGTTGAGTACCAGGGTTAGACCTAGCAGAGCACCTACAAAGGAGAAAAGTACAGTTCAACCAAATCTTGACATTCAGTTTTAGTGTCAAGTATGGTAAAATATTAAGTAATTGATCACTATAAACGCTTTCCAGGTATGTAATGTGACATGGTCATGAGGTATCTTGGTAATTAGTAATCATGTACAACGTCTGTGGATTTGGGCATCATCCACATTACAAAAGTGTAACAAAATATGTTTATTAATGTGAGTTGGCATTATGGGATGTGGAGAATCCAGTATTTGTGCGTCATACTATACATCTGTACTTCCACATGTATATACTGTACATTTGTATTTCCACATGTATAATTGTTTTACTTTTTTAATGCTATTTCAGAAATATTTTGGATTGTTTATTTCTTTTGATTTATCTTGTGTACATTACCTTGTCTTTTTATGCTGCTGCAACGCAAACATTTCTCAAATTGGCATCAATAAAGTACTTCTTATCTTATCTTATTTATCTTAAATCAGGATATCACAGTCTCTGTCGCATCAATTTTAATGATTAAATGTGTCTCATAGGTTCCCCCAACTATACATAAGTAGACTTAAATGCACAAAAGTAAATAACTTACCTATAGCCAAGGCAAAAATAAAGGGTCTCCTCCGTCCAAACCGGGATTTACATCGATCACTCCAGGCTCCGAGGAGAGGCTGAACAAGGAATCCTTCAAGCCAAACACAGAGGAGGGAGATAGAGCATTATGATTGTTATTGAAAATCACATGATGATGCATCACATATTCCAGCCCCCCATGGTTTCATCTTGCCTACTGTTTACTTACCCAGTATGGGGCTGATAAACCACACCAAGCTGTAGAATTGATCGGGCAAGCCCATCTGTAGCAGCACAGGAGTCACATAAGCCGTCTCCATGGCATAACTAAATTCAATACCAAACAGGACGCAGCCATTGAAGAGCAGATCTTGGAAGGTACGTCTTGGGGGAAGCTCACTGAGGTCCAGCTGGTCTAGGGGACAGGGTGTGTTGGGCGGTGGAGGCGGTGAAGGTCTTATCAGCTTCCGACGCTTTGGATGTCTTTGAAAGTTGTTGGCTCTGTGACTGAGGAGCCGAGTGGTGGATGTTGGAAAGCTGGCCGTTTTGGGGAGTGAGCTCCTCCAGAGGCCTTCCTGAGCTGCAGATAACCTCCCTCCTGGACTGGTGAGGAGGGGGTCACTGGGGGTGCCCATGCCTGGAGAGGACATCTCTCTCAAGCCAGCTTACACTGCAGCATGTAATAGGATGACACACATTGACAGGTTAAAACTTCTTTGGGGATGATTTTTCATATTAGAGGTCATTCAAGATCACCACAATGTAGCATGGTGTGAGTAATTAGTGCTGATAATGGTTATGAAGTACTACTACGAGAGGACACTGCAGTCATCGGAAGACAGCAGTGATGGGGACGACGCACTGCAACCAATGCGCATGCTAGGGATGTGCGCAAAACCCATGTGCTCGGCGTGGCTGACTATACGGCAGTGAAGTATGCGGCACCGCTCTCATGGAGCCTGTTTCCATTTTAATATTTCATGGAGAAAGCTCAAATCGGACACAATGGAGCCGGTTATAATGGTGACAGTCATGAGGATGCATTATCGCTAAAAACGTAATCCAAACATCTGATCAATCCTTTAGGTAGCCACGTAGCCGATCGATTGCTCTTTTGTGTAGTATTTTCCTGTAGTGACCCTTGATTTTATCCTCGATTTACACTTTCTTCTTAAGGTGAACATCACGCAGTGTCGCCTACTTGAATGTGTTAGAAGATGATGCAGGCGTGAAAAATGGGAACGTGAAAGATGATAATTACCTTAACGGGGAGCCTCGTCATTTATTGCAGCATACTGTGTAGTAGACAAAGCATTATGATTTATAAAAGAAAAATCTAGGATGAATTAGAGGAGTCATGATTGTTGTTTTTTTGTTTTTTCCTTTTCGTGCAGTCATCCCCCCGCTCTCTCCTCCTTCCCTTCTCCTTCCCCCTCTTCTCCTCTCCACCTTCGCCTCCTCCTCCGCCCGGTCCCTGTCGTGACGTCACGCCCCTCCCTGCTACATCAGCACCAGGAACAGCCACAAAAAGCACATCTGTCCATCACCTGAGCCACATACACTTCAGAAATGCATTTAAATAATAGTGACTAATTTGTAAATGTACTGACTATTAATGTTGTGCAAAGGACCATTGATGCTTTTCAGCGCTATTGCAAAGTATTTGATATGTTATTTTTAACGTTAAAACACATTTTACAGTTATTGTTGGAAATGCCTAAAGAGATAAGAGTTTCCTCTTTGGGTTAGTCATAAATTCCTGTTGTGAAGCGAATCATTGTTCAAACAACTTTATTTTAATATATAGTCGTAAGCCTTACATTTTCAAAGGTCCCAAATGTGCCAATAGGCTTTGGGAAATGTGTATAATCAATGTGAAGAAAAAATGTAAACCAGTATTTTCATCAAAACGTATTTCGGGTGTATATGTCTGTGTCAAAACATCATAGAGCTCTGAACTCCATTAACTCAAAATATAAAATTCTGAAATTGCTTAAAATAAAAAGATTTTACAACCTAAGACCTACTTAAGAGGAAAAAGAGAAAACCAAGTTTAATAAATTATGGAAATGATGCATGCATTTCTCACTTAGGCTACGCCACTGGTCAGCACGTCAATTATTTATCATATTCTCCAATCTGTTAATTGACCTGCTATTTGCTATGAGCTATTTGCTCATCAGGTGTGCAATGCATGATTAGGTTAGTTAGGCAATGTGTGACAGAGTGTACATATGTTAAAGGAAGGATTCAATAGGCATTTTGACTTGTAAGAAAAAGCACAGGTTAAAACAAATTCCTGAAGAACAGTCAGTTTTATCAAGTGCTTGAGCCAAGACCTTGAAACTATATCCAACATACTGAGTGTTGGTTTGTTATGCTAGTCACACTATGACATGCAATAAATACTAGAAAGATAGATTAATAATTAACTCAAGTTGAAAGTAGTTTTCAATACCATTAAAACATAGCACTCTCCACATGTTTGCTCTTATGAACCTGCCTGAGGACCACAGATGGAAATGAACTATTAGCTATAATCTGGCATATTGCATCTCTTCTGTTTGCTGAGATTAATGTTTTTGTATGCATGGTCCTTTTATAAATAAATACAAATAAAAAAAAACAGCAAAATGACTTGTCACCCTTCACCACCACTGCAAAACAAAATGGCTGTGGTGGTCTGGGGTTATCATAAAACGGACGGATGGGAACAAAGTAACAGCTATAGAAAGCAAACAAAGGCTGTAATAAATCGCATTACCTTTGAGCTCACCTGCACCACACCTTGTGCAACATGTATAATTTAAAACTGAACTTTCAAATATTCAGTCACCAATTTGAGCCCATGCTATAACTGGTTTTACTTGTTGTGCAAACTTTAAGAAATCAGTAAACAAATAACTGCTAAAAGCGTTTTGAACTGTTTTGTTTATTTTAGTGTGGAGATGTTTTTACGAAGCCCCGCCCCCGCTCCTACATCAGCTGCTGTAATTGGCTGACTGTTCAACACCAACAGCATCTAATTGGATGTTAGTGCTCAGTGGGCGTATCAGGATACAGATGTTTTGTAACAGCGGTACTATTAGATTATACAATATAGAAATTGCACATTTCTGTTAAGTTTGAAAAGCCGGTGCACTCTGTGTTACTCAATCGCAGAAAATGGCAAAGGTTGACCTTGTTAAAGTTGGAAATAACTTGTTGAAGAGCGGTGAAACTGGAAAGGTAAGAAATCTGCTTAGTTAGAAAGCTAATCGTACTCCCATGAGCTTTCCTCCTATTTCCTGTATACAGGGTTTATTGGTTTGTGTTTGAAGGGGTTCTCTATATGAATATACAGCCGTTCTGTTAGATTGACTTCCCCACAGAGACCTGTGTTTGTTCCCTGCTGATACCTGGCGTATTAAACCTGTCATTACCTCACAGCATGGCAGTGTAATTGGTGTCAAATTAAGCCTCCAGGTTGACACACGCTAATGATCATCTGAAGGGAACACATGAGGACGAGTCATTAAGGAAGCCCATTTCCTGCTCTAAGAGGTTGTCAAAGAGAATGACTTGGTAATATCTCAAAATAGGTGACTTAGTAATAGAGATTTTATAGGCACATTTGATGAAGACTTGCAATCCTCTTGGAACTTTACAACCAGGACTTGTGACTTCACTTGGAAGTCATACCCTCCTCGAACCCAAAAAGTATACAGTAGTCTATGCTATTTATGATGGTGTGCCACAAATCAATGCATTTCCTGAAGCAAATAACATTAACAATATTCATTCCCAGCAGGCTGACAACACTTAATTCCCACACATTAAAACCAATCTTGCAGCCTCCAATAAAGTTCCACCAGAGAACCATGAAGAACTAACACACATTACTGGCTGCCAGTTGGAAAAATGACACAAAAGGTAATTTTGTTTGCGTATGAAACCTACGTGGTGGTCAACAAAAAATGCAATCCTGGTTTGGGACAAGAGTTGGTCAAAAGCACATCCCGTAGTAATGGTTTAGGGCTTGATACTCAAAGATTATGGAGTGCAAAGACTTGAGACTTTCTTGTGACTTGCAAAACAAAGACTTTATCTAACTAATCTATGCTTAGTATCTAAAAAAAATGACATACTTTTATATGTTCTTATTCTGATTATTTGAGATATTATGTAATCATTTTTTAGAATATGTTCATCTTATTTTTTTTTCTTTAAATGGAGGAAATGGGCTTGCAAGGAATACAGATATTGCATTGTTGTTTGAGTCTATCATGTATAATAAAAACTAAAACGATCAAATTACTATGATCTCCCTTCACCACATCACTATTTCCCATATGTCACATGTTCTGAGTGTTCCCCTCTCTGTGTGATGCAGAGTGTGGAGCTCCTGTCTCTCTGGCAGGACCAGCCCGTGGTTTTGTTCTTCCTGCGCAGATTTGGCTGCCAGGTGTGTCGCTGGATGGCAACAGAGATCAGTAAACTGGAGCCGGACTTGAGAGCCAACGGTGTAGCGCTGGTGGGGGTCGGACCAGAAGAGTTTGGACTGAAGGAGTTCAAGGAAGGAGGGTTTTTCAAAGGACGTAAGCATTGGCAATTCTCATTCATATATTTCAAAACCATGGGATTTTATTTATTTATGTTGCACTGATCCATCAGTTCACTCCAAAACAAATATGGAATTTAAATCCGGCTTTAATCTGCTCCACTTTAACTACCCTTACACTTCAGCCCTATTTGGTCAGTGGCTGTTTTGTCTATTCATTCACTGTGACCAAAGATGTATGATGTAACATATTACAACTGTATAAAGAAACAACAAAACACCTAATTTATTTTTGTCAAACAGATTTACCCAATACTTACATTTTTGGATTAGACAAAGTTTCGAATAAGTACAGTTTCTCAAGTACTTCATTAAAGTACATGTTCTCAGTCTTATTACTTTTCTGCCCATTAGTATACAAAGTATTTAAAATCTACAGTCATTGACTAACTACAGCAATTATATGCTCTTACATGTGTTAGTTGTAAAACAGTTTAATGTAAGATGTTATAAAAATATAGCAATTTGAAAGGAGTCCTTCTGCACTTCTACTTTTGTACTGTACGTATTTTTATGTACAATGTATGAGACTTTGAAGCACTCCTTGGCTTCTGTACAGGGATAAAAAATAAAAAAAAAACCTCATTATAACTTCAAGAAGATGCATTGTCACCCTTGCGCAACCAAACTCATGTTACATAATGTAATCATGTAATGTAACATAAAACATTGGGTGTGTCTCAAGGATTTAGACATACTTTTAACAGCCAGTCCTTTTGTGGGATAGTAAATATATAATCTTCTTCTTTTAGCCGTTTATGTTGATGAACATAAGAAAATCTACAAAGATTTGGGCTTCAAAAGGTGAGTTCAAATCTTTTTTTATCTTAAAGTAATAGAGAAACAGTTTGTTTTATATGAACGTTTGACCCTGATGTAAAATGCTTTCATTTGTTAAAGATTATTTTAACTCAATTTAGATACAACAACTAATTAACAATTAATCTGTGACTACTTTGATTATCAATGAACTGTTTAGAGCAGACTTTTCTGGTCTTATTTGATGGTATACTGAATATCATTGGTTTTTAAAATGTTTTATTAATTAAACATTTGATATATCTCCTTGGGATGTGTGAAATTATAAGATTATCAGGGCTCGCCACTAATCTTCTCTCCTTTGAAAAGGTTAGATGACTTGTGATGATCTCTAATTTAAAAATGGTGTTTCCTCACACTCAGATACACAGCCTTAAGTTTGGTTCCTGCTGCTTTGGGGAAGAAAGTACGAGAAGCAGCCTCAAAGGTATAAAGTAACTCCATATCAGATCATGACTTCATGGTTCATATATCCTACAAAAACAGAAGCTGATTGACACACTGACATCTGACCGCCTGTTTTCTCTGCTGTTCTCAGGCCAGTGCTGAAGGCATCCAGGGAAACTTCTCAGGAGATCTGCTCCAGAGTGGAGGCATGCTCATTGTTGCCAAAGGTACGATCAGTTTACAGCAGAGGGGGTGTTTGTGAGGGTCTGTTTGGTGAGTAAATGCCAATGTAAACATGTATATTACCTTTTAGCATTGCATCGATAAGGTTGGAAACTGAAGATAAATAAAAGGTCAAAGACATGCAATTTCTCAAATCCTCCTCTAGAGGGCAATACTGCAGTACTGGAAGTCTATAGGAAGCTCTCTAAACGCCTGTGCTCTCCAGGGCTGCTGACTTTCCACACTTCTTTATTTCTTTTATAACCATTGGATTAATAATTCTCGTTAATGAGTCTACATAATGAAGAGACATTTTTTGTTGTTGTTTTTTAATGTTCCCGATCATACCAACTCTCTCTCTAAGTGTGCTCATACTGTTTTTATGGTGTGGTACGGGCAGCTTATTGTTATGGAGAAAAAGCAGCTAGCGAAAGTAGACACCTCAATTTAAAAATCATGACTTCAACAAAATTCCTGTTTGGTGACATTTCTCACCAGCATTACTCCTGTTTGAGTACTCTCCGCTTGAAGCAGGTTAGGCCTAAATGTAAATGTTTCAGAGACAATTCACTTAATTCTACTCAAAGGTATTGATTAAAAAGCTTTGAAGAGAAACTATGTTGTGCATATTTGCCAGTAACAAATCAATTTGAAATATGTTTAAATATTTTAGTCCATGCTGTGTTTTATAACTGCTTTTATGTGTCAGAGTTCACATAAGCAAATTCATTTGACGAGCTGTTTATTTGATAATTTCTCCTAAATATATGTTTTTCTCTTCCAAGGTGGAGAAAAGGTTCTAATGCACTTCATCCAGGACTCACCAGGAGACCACCTAGCTCTTGAGGATATTTGCAAGGCTCTGGGTATCTCAGCCAATGCAAAGGCAGGACAGATGCCAGTGGTAAGACATCTCATAACCATACAAGAAAAAACACATTATATTCTTTAGATACACATTATATTCATCCTCTTTTTTCTGTACTTCCCCACTTAAACTTTTCCTTTTCTATTTGTGACCATGATTAAACTTAAAGCTCCAACCAAAGGGTTGAATAAAATGGTATCATTGTGTTTACTAAACCGTACTGAACTGATGTCAGTCAGTTTCTTCCTCAGCAGACTGTTTTACGTCAGTAGCAACAAACACATCAGAGTAGCCTTTTCAAAGGCAATTTCACACTTATTACTCCATCTTCATGGTCTGTTAGTGTTCGTGTCATAAAACCCTTTAAACTTGAATGATGATCGCAGTCTGTATTGTACCTAAAAAAACCTCTGCAAACACAAACGCACAGGTTTTAACAATACCACAAAGTAGTCTTAACAAAATCCAACAGAGAAGGGTTAGCATTGCCAATGGTAAAAAATGATTACCAATTAGAGTGTGCAAAATAAACATAGAATATTAAACCAATAGGAATCTAAATGTATAAACTGTTAGAAGAAGGTATGAGCCACATAGATTCTGGTTTGGTGGTATTGTAATATAATAAACAGAAAAGAGAAAGTAGGATTTAAAATGTAATCCCTGCACTACTCTATACTATAAAGCACATTTAGAAATAAATTGCTCTGAGGTCATGGACATACTATCTCGTGTCCTGAGCATCAGACGTTTTGTCCTGTGACCGTCGGGACTTTCAGCATGACCACTTTCAGCACATGCTCTTCAACGCCCACGGCCCCCGGCTCTGTTGCTTTCCTTCCCCCAGAACCCACCATGTCAGAGCTTTTGCAAGACGTACAGTAATCTTCCTCATGACCTGTTTGACGACCAGAAACAGATGTCATTTTCTGAAGCCCCGGGGGCCACATTTGGCGTCATGGTTGTCTATTAGTCGTCACATAATAACTACAACATCATCAGATCATACCATCCTCTCATTTCCTTCCATGTTTACTGACTGCCTTACTCATGTGTGGAGGCAACATGCCTAACATTATCTTTAACATGAGCATTTTGCTTTCTGCTAACGAGCCAATTAAAACAATGTTTGATGTTATTTCATCAATTGGCCTTGTCTCTGGCTAGAAACATCAGTAAACACATTTTCAATATCATTTCTTCCACTTTAGTTTGTTTCGTGTGTTCAACAGTGGAAATAATGCTTGATTCAGTGCAGCAGGCAGTGCTTATAGCTAATAATCTGCAGAGTTACACAATAATCCATATCCTAACCCTAACCTCACCTACCTTTTTTTGATATCCTCGCAGACAATTTTCTTTATATATGTTCATATTTGTATCTGTACTATCATTTTATAATGTTAGGTATTCCATACACACACACAATATATTCCACATCTGTCTTTCCTGGGATAGGGATCATCTCACTTGCTCTTCCTGAGGTTTATTTTCCCCCCATTTTTTTTTTCAAATGTCTTCAAGGTGTGTCATAAAATGTACAGATTGTAGGCAATTTGTCAAATTGGGCTATATAAATGATATTGAAATAACTTCTCTTCTCTTGCAGTGCAATGAAGATGTTTGTACACGATGATGACAGAGATGCCAGTCATACCAGATGATAATCTACAAATTGAATGGAGATTCCTCAGAAAGTGAACACGTATTAAAAATTTCTTGCAATTCATTTGTCACAGTTGCACAATATATTACTGTTTATCTACAGCAGTGGTTCTCAAAGTGGGGGGCGCGCCCCCCCAGGGGGGCGCAGAGGCATGACAGGGGGGGCGCGAGAGACCAGGAGGAAAAATGGTTATAAAAAAAAAAAAAAAAAAAGAAAAAAAAAAATGTTTTAAAAATTATTGATTCGAAAATAATTAGGGCCGGGACTCGATTAAAAAAATTAATCTAATTAATTACAGGCTTTGTAATTAATTAATCGCAATTAATCGCATTTTTAATCGCATATAAATATTTGACCTGAGAACAGTGAGAAGCAATTTTTTTCACATGGATTTTAGTATACCATTGAATAATGACTGAATACATNAAATAACTTCTCTTCTCTTGCAGTGCAATGATGATGTTTGTACACGATGATGACAGAGATGCCAGTCATACCAGATGATAATCTACAAATTGAATGGAGATTCCTCAGAAAGTGAACATGTATTAAAAATGTCTTGCAATTCATTTGTCACAGTTGCACAATATATTACTGTTTATCTACAGTAACAGTGACACTCATTTTATAATCATTACTTTTAATGTAATTCATGTTTTGAACCTAACTAAAATTAGAACTTTTATTCATTTACTGTAGATAACCCAATTTGTGTTATTTGAAACTGAAGGGGATGTTGCATTGTTTTTGTTGCTTTCGTTGCAGTTTTATATATATTTTATAATGTAATTTAGGTGAACTTCCTGTTTCATTTGGATGCTTTTATTTTGAAGGCGAGTTAACAAGGCTGACAGGAAGTGGTTGTAGCTTTTGAAAACAACGTGACGGAGAAAGTAATATCTTCTATGTAACGGCGGAGAAAGAGAAGAACGGACTGTATATTTATATGTTAGCACCCCCCGAAGAGGCTCAAGCTCTTAAGTTGGGTCTGGAGTTTGAATAAATTCTGGTTCATCAGTAAAGCCTAAACCATTATTCGGAGGGAAATGCTAGATTTACATTTATTACACTAATTTTGTAAAATAAATAATTATTTATACGCTTATAATTATAATAAACTTTTAAAATTCACACTTGGCTTCAGTCAATAAGTCTTTGATGCAGACACGAGTAAAGTTATAATACAAGTTGAGGCGTTATCTAACTTGTTGACATGACCAACGGATATACTGACTTTCACTACATATATAATTTAAAACTCTAATGGGTCCATTACACGTTTACACATTACCTTTATATTGTTTACTTTTACTCGCCTTCAACAACCCTTTCACACTTTATATCCACTGCAGTATTTACTCTCCATAAATGTGTTTACCAGATGCTTAAACAATTAGTTAAGATCAGATATTTTAAAAGTCACACAATTGCTCGCAATAAATAAAAAGCAGAGTCCAAAGATATTTTTTATCCATTTCAATTTTGTGTTACCTTTGCAAAGATGATAGTGAATCCTAAAAGTTTTCAACAACATTAAAGGTCCCCTATTATACTGTTTTTCATCAATATATTATAGGTCTCAGATATATACAAAACATGTCTCTGAAGTGTTTGGCTCTAAACACCAAACAGATTGTGCATTGTAGCATCCCATAACCCCCTCTGTTTCAGCCCTGTTTCAGAAGTGTTGATTCTCTGTCTGTTACTTTAGATGAAAATAAGGAGCCACTCCCCACGCCCCTCTGAGAGATATTTGGTTAAAAAGAACACAATGGTGCTCTAGGAGGAGATTCAGGTGATGAGGGGGGGGGGGGGGTGGTTACCTTGTTGGTTATTGGCTAATGGTTACACAAGCCAAAAAATCGTTATGACATCATAAAGTCGCCAAAATCTGATCAGCTCATTTTCAGACAGGTTTTTATGTAAATGGCTCAGGACAAAAAGAGAGAGAATATTTTTTCCTGAAACTTTCCGAATCTCTTTACACAGAGGGGACACATGTTGATGTATAAAAGACATGAACATTGTCTTGGATTTTGCATAATAGGTGACCTTTAAATTAAAATAACACATTCGAAGTAGAGATTTGAGATCAGACCAGTTGAGACAGTCACTTTAATGGCAATCTAGATAATTACATAGCAGCAGGAACATTCAGAAAACATCTTTAACGTCTAAAATCTTGCAAAGCAACAATGGTGTTTCATAAATATTCATAAAGATAAATAAACTCTTCTGATGGGTATACATATCTTCATATATAACAAAAATGTGTTTGTACTTCGCTGGTAATTTCAAAACGACACAATTTCACCATGTACGTAAATGTGAAGCTAAAACAATGGTAAGAGGGGTACACTTCTTTTCTTACCTTATTCAAAACTTGAATATGTAAATACTGCAGTATAGAGCATCAAGTATCTACAATAACACATTGTATATTTACCCTTTAGAGTTCAGCTTAGTATTTTGAACAGTTTGACTCTTTTTGAGGAAACCTGATAAACAGTCCAGTCTAAACTGTTGCCCTTCAAACAGCAGCCCGTGATAAATCCATACCTCGTGATTTATCCTTCAGTATTTCTCTGATACATGTGCCTTGTTTAAATTAGTTGTTTGACATTTTGGGAGATACGCTCTTTTGCTTTCTGGAGAAGAGTGAGATAAGAAGATTGATACTCATGTATTTTTGTCTGTTAAATGTAAGGCTACAGCAGTCGATTAGCTTAGCCTAGCAGACAGACTGCTTAATCTGTATTTCAATTTGCGAGAATAGTCTAGTTGAGATGATAATTAATAATTAATTTATCTTTTTACACTAGTTTTTCATTCATCTAAAACTATATCTTTTATACAGAGTAGGCTCTCTAATTTCACAGAAAACGTTACGACCAAATGGTCGAAAAGAGCAGCTGAAAAATGAAAGCTTACAGCTGAACTATAGATAACAAATGTGTCATATAACATCCAATAAATGTTTTGAAAAATCTATTTACTATCCCAGTGATTGTAGTCTACAACTACAATCACTGGGATAGTACATTTTAATATTTCTGCCCCGCTATTGCTTAAAAAATAATATTTTTGCACAACAAAGTTCTTCACCGTAAAAACACTTTGTTATGCTGCACATGAATTCACAAAAAGTTTGTTTGTTCTTATATTCGCTCTCTTTATGGCATTTGTTCGTAACCTTTTTCTGGGACCGTAGGGAGATGAGAACTACATACAATGCATATTGTTTTTCACTTAACTATTAGCTTGTCAATTTCAAAGGAACTGGAAGACAGATTTTGTTACCATTGAATAGAGACAGAATGTTTTAGAGTCCGGACAGTGACTTTACATTTTGCCATTGAATTAAATGTTTTATTGTCCCAAATAAATTATAATAACAAAAATAAAACACAAGAATTAGAAAAAAACAAACCTCCAGGAAAGTATACCACACTTGTCATTTTGACGCCATAACTACAATCTAATATCTTATTGTGTTCCTATTTTTTTGTTAATATGAGTGTCTTCAGTGAAGGTTTCCTTACCGTTTCTATTTAGTGTTTAATTTTTACTCACTTCCGCTGCAACAAGTGTTAGGTTTATAGCACAAATGCCTGCCAAATATAAGTTTATATGTACCGATGTTATCTTTTTCTCTTCCGGTTTTGTTTGCAATGGCTTACGTCTGTTTTTGCTCCGGCCCCGTGCGTTGAAGCCGAACTGCATCGTGGTTCTGTTGCTCGCTTCAAAAGTTGAGAAAAGTTCTACTTTTCAAGCTATGACCGGAAGTGTCTGCCAATCAAATCCTATGCCAGTACAAGCTCTAGCCAATCAAAACGCGTGCTTGTGTGTCCGGGGCGGGATATTCATGTGATTGGTTGTTGGTCAAGCTTCAGACACGCCCACCGGCAAGCTTCAACGCACGCTGCCGTGTGGACGCTGCATTTTTCTTTTTTTTACGCTAAGCTAACTGGGCCATCTGACTGTTGCTTATAATTAACAGACATTTTCTTATCCAGGTTAATCATCTCCCAAAATGACAAACTTTTTGCTTTGTGATGGCAGCACACTATCAGTGTAAACAGTCCTCTCCCTCTGCTTAACACAACAGTATTTGCCAATATGTAAAGACAGACTAAAGCTTCAATATGCACATTCAATTCTGTTGAGACCTAAAAGTCGTGTTCAGTTCACCAAGGCATCCTGAATGTGTCCAGTGACAAGCAAACCTTAAAAAAAAACGCCTGTTTGTGTTTCTGCTGCTTGAAAGCTCTCCTGCAGACAGTACCTCTCTTATGAGTTCTGCTCTGCTTTGATTCTCCTGTCATTACTTGATAATAAAGGTAGAAAATAACAGTCCTGGCCCTGGCCATCTCTTTAATGACAAGCCCCATTCTTCGGTGTGTGTCTGCCTGCTGGCGGGTTGTTCGGCTACAGCGGTCACCACGCTTCAGCACTTCATCCTTTCATCTTACACAGCACTGATCAATGTGAGATCACAGGGCACACCACTTCATCTGCTGCCTGCCCGTGTGTGTGTGTGTTGTGTGTGTGTGTGTGTGTGTGTGTGTGTGGAGTGTGAGTGTGAGTGTGAGTGTGAGTGTGTGTGTGTGTGTGTGTGTGTGTGTGTGTGTGTGTGTGTGTGTGTGTGTGTGTGTGTGAGAGT